ATATGTGAAATTTATGATTTCACGAACAACCACAAATGATTATCATCCGTATATGTACAAATTTACAGAAAGTGTCATCTATGGTATTCACATCTTGGTATTATTCTTACCCAAATATTTTGTAATTTTAAATGACATTTCTTAAGTTGTGTATCCTTAATTAATGATGCTTTTGAAAATAAATTAAGATGTGATTATGATCTATAACCAACTAAACATTAATGATGGTTTTGAAAATAATTTTACTTTTGAAAGTAAACTTTGCTTTTTACAAAAGAAAGAAAGACCGTGACTTTGAATTTGGGACCGAAAAGAATGACCGAGACATGTCAGGATTATAATGCTTAGGATTGAGACGAAAGTGATACTTGGGACCGGTTCAGTCTTGGACCGATAGTCTAAATTGATCTTATAAATTGGGGGAAGGACCAGTCGACCAGACAAGTCCTAGACCGGTGGTGTTTTGTGAAAAGACTAGGCTGAGACTCGACTAGGATTAGTCTTATAATAAAACATTAAAGTATAACTCTTACGTAAATACTTCTATTCTTTAGCATAGTCTTTTTTAACAAAAATACATTTATCTGATCTTTTTAATTTACAACTTAATACTCTATATACTTTTTATAAATATAAAAATATTTCATAAAAAAATATAAATATAAAATATTATACCAACATAAATTTTTTATAGGTTGTGTCTAAATTTTATCTTAGAAAAATGCATTTTAAGTTGCATATGCACTTTATTAAAATTAACGAAGTGTAGTAATGGAAGAAATTAGATAAAAAAGGTTCATTTATATTTTATAGTTTTCTAAAAAACTAAAAAGTAACATTTTAAAAATCATGAAAAATAAAGAGCGGTCCGGACTAGGACCATTCCCAATGCAACCGGACTACTCGGTTCAAAAAAGTCTATTTTTTAACAAATACCGGATGAGTCCGGACCGGTTTTAAGAAAAGACTAGAATGATCCCATGCTAAATATAATACCAGAGATTCTAAAAGGCCTGTTTAGTCCCTTTATTCATTCCTATATGTTTCTAGTTTTAACCGTGTGGGGCTGGTGTACAAGCTATTTTTACAGCAAAAGACTTTCATTTAACTTAAATAAACGGTGTGACAACTTGTAGAGAGCTAGTTTCCCACACCTATGGCTGAAAAGAAGAGGCTTTAATCAAGGCATGAGTTGCCTTGTTGTCTAACCTATGAACGAAATGAACCACTACAGAATGAAAAGAGTGTAATAAAGAAGAAGAATCATCAATAATAGAGCAAAAATTAGACGAGAAAGAATAATCTTTGCCCGCACACAAAGCACGGACCACCATTTGGCAATTTGAGAGTAATTCCGCGTTTGTTTAATCCAGAAAAATGCCTCTTTGCAAGTCATGGCCTGCCAATGAAGGATCCAGCGCTCCACATCAGGGCGATCCTTGTCGCCACAAACCGACTGTCTGGTGAGAGAAGCACGCATCCAAATGCAGTGATATGGATAGTACATTATAATATTTTAATTAGTTATATTATTATTTGGTAATTATTTATTATTATTTATTGATGGTTTAGGGGTTTAGTATGGGCCCGAGCCCATTAGGTCAAGAGGTGATGTCTTATCCCTATATATTGTAACCTCGTATGGTTATTATGAATCAATAAATAATAAGGAATTCTCTTAATCACCCGTCTCTATTTTCTTGGAGTTCGGAAGCTCTTGAAGTTTTCCTTCTCTCTTTACATACCCTTTCTTGGAGCCCGAAGACGCTCGGAGTTATTCCCTATCCTGATACGAATTGTACAAGATTCGTATCAATTGAATGATACAGATAGTAAACTATAATATTTTAATTACTTATATTATTATGTAGTAGTTATTTATTATTAACCGGTCCAGTCCTCAGTCCACCAAATGCCCCTTATTCGGTCTCGGTCTGGTTCGGGCTGGTTTGGTCCGTTCCGAATTTGACCCGATGAACATCACTAATTGGTGCTTTCATTGATTTGAACACCAAAACCCCACCACAAAAAAAGAGTGGTTTCTTGCAAAAAATGAAAAGTTTTGCACATTGGGGTTTTTTGCAGTCTCTTCCGTTCTTGCAAAAAAAGAAAGAAATTGAAGTAGTAGAAGGCAGCGATGAAATCCAATATTAATCTCCAAAAAAAGTGTGCCGCTGTAAATAACCTATGGAATAGGAGATCTAGTACTCTTTTCGCATCCCCGGAGAAATGACTTATGTTTTAGTCTTATTTAGTGCAAATTTCACTTAGTTAAAATCATTCCAAACGGTTATTTCTAACCCTACCTATTTCTAGGTATTTGGAACGTGTGGCTTAATTAATCTTCTTACCTCATAGACTAGATAAAAGATTAATTTTCAAAGATTATTTAATAATAAAAATAATTTTATTAATTAATAAACCTTAATTCATTTTCTAACAATTAATCCAATTACTATAAAACATAAAATAAATAAGTTAAATACTTATTCCGAATCCTAACCCATGTAAAATTACCAATTCATTTTCTTCGATAAACATCACACATCATCATAACAATATATAAAATTCTCAAAGACATATCAATTATCAACAAAATGATATTTTATTATTAAAAGGTTCAATGATGATTACAATAAAAAGAAAAGAAAAACTTACAGTGTTTCAAGAACTTGAGAATTAACTTTGGATGATGAAAATTAACTAACACAAATTTAGTAAAATATTTGGAGAAGAAAAGAGGTGAACTTTGCCCCTAAAGGGGTAAAACGAAGTGGAGAAGATTCGTCAGGAGTGGAAGAGCCGTGGGGTAATTAAAGGAATCGCCGACCACCGGGCGGGTAGACCAGCGGCCGCCGGTCAGCCCGCGCCGCCGTTCCAGAAGCTTCGCATGCTGTTTCCAATGGGCTCCGTCGATAGGAGGGCAGGCACGCGGCCACCTGCCAGCCCGCCATCGCTCCTCCTCCCCGCTGGCTCCTTCGCACGTTGTCGTCGCCTTCCACCCGGCGGTTAGGCGGCCGCCGGCTAGGTCACCTGTCAGGCCGTTACCAACCGTCGATGGCTACCTTGCTCAAAATTTCATTGTGAACATTTTTTACTAATGCGCCGACTTCTAATTCCGCACCGTTTGTAAGATAGAATTATTTTTCTTTTAAAAATTAACTCTTCTTATTCTATTCTTGGCCCAATTTTATATATTAATTCAAAGACATTCTTCTTATGATCGAGTTATCAAAAATATACTCCCTCCGTCCCAAATTATTTGCCACATTTGTATTTACGAGGCAAAATATCAAGTTTTTTCAATTTATTTTATTTACATATTGGTAAAGAAATAAAAAATAAAATTTACATATAAAAAAACTACATGAAAAGTTCTTCGAAATAAGAGGTGTCAAGAATATTTTATTTTATCAAATAATCAATGAAAACATCGAAATAAACAAAAGTTTCTGACACTGCTAAAAAAGCAAATGTTGTGAATATTTAGGGACGGAGGGAGTAATATTTTGATGAAAAAGGATAAAGAATTGATTGATTTGATGATTAAAATAGTACAAGAACATATTAAATATGAGTAAAAAGATAAGTACGAAACGAACTTATCAATCTCCTCACACTTAAACGTTGCTTGCCCTCAAGCAAATCACCATCTACTAAGGTCATCTCCAATGGGATGCCCAAAACAGATGCTAGGAGGAGAGAGAATGAGATGTTGATAGATGCTACTATTGTAGATAGATGCCCAATAAAGATGCTCAAAAAGAAAAATGAAAGGAAGATGCTTGGCCTAGCACCCGATGCTTGAGGATGGAAGAATTGAGGCATTTGTTTTTTAAGTATTGTGGTCCAATATATATGTGCCATGTGTCAATTTATTATTTTTTCAATTTAAAAGTTTGCAGTTGTAGTTTTTATGAAGGCTCAAAAGTTTTTTTATTAAATTAGATTTGGCAACTTCAAAAAATTAGATATTGCAATGTTCTAGAATTCAAACTCTTTTTTAATGGAATGACTATTTTTTATTTATTTCAAAAATTTTCTTAGGTATTTGTTTTTCTGTTTGTTTTGAAACAATATTAACTACTCCGGAGTACATCATATATTAATTACATAAAAAACATTTTAAAATATTTTACAACATAAATCTAAGAAATTTAATTTTATATCAATATCTAATATAAGTTTTATTTAATTAAAGACCAAATTTTATTAATTTAAATGTAAAAAGTCAAAATTAGATATATATTCTAGGAAGAAGGTAATATTAATAATAACGAGTAAATAATTAATTTTAATTAAAAATTATCATATACGGAGTAATAAATACTTATAATTAAGAAAATAAAATATAATTATATTTATATGGACCCACTGCATTCATTGAATAAAATGAGGCATCCATATGAGATGCCACTATTGAAAGGTTTAGATGTTGAGAGAGGTGCTCAATTGACATTTAAAAAGTAGACTCCACACTTCAACATCTAGTGAGGGATGCTACCATTGTGGATGCTCTAACACAAGTATGAAAAAGATTGTTTGATTAAATTCTAAAATATTACTTCCTTGCAATAGTCAGTTAATATTGTTAGCATTTATTACTTCGCACCTTCTTTGATATTCTAACAACTAAAAAGATCATCACACTTTTCAATAATACAACAATGAACTTATTTAAAAGTTTGCATGAGTAACTTTCTCTTCCAAAATCCCTTAAGGTTAGTATTTAATAACGATTTGCAGTCTTTTTGGTCTACTTAACTCAATTATATTGTTTAAATTTTATTTTTATTGTGCTCGTGAGTTATCCCATAATGCCCTCTTTTTATTATTATTATTAATTATTTTATTTTAGAGTAAATTATATTAAAGGTCCCCAGTTATATGTCGTTTTACATATTAAGTCCCTACATATCAAATATTACTAATTTAGTCCCCAATTATTATATTTATTTCCACGAATGGTACTTTGTTAACATTTCCGTTAAGAACGTGGACAAAATTGTATATTTATATTCCTCACTCTCTTCAATTAAGTTTCCTCCATTTTCTCATACTCTTTTCCAAACTCGTCGCTGAGTTTGAATCTCTTAAACCAAAAACTTAAATGATCGTTCCTCCAGTCACACTGGGAACAGGAGATTGCCATAAGTCTGTATGCATTAATTGAAAAGGAAACTGAGAAATACGACTCGAAGACTGAAATGGTAGGCGAACATGTTTGCCTAGTTGACACGCATGACAAAGAAAATCTAACTTTGATTTATTATTATTCTCTAAAACAGAAGAGATGCCATGGAGCACAGCTGGGCTTGGGTGTCCAAGGCGGCGGTGCCATGTTGGTAGGTCGACTTGGGTGAGGTGAAGTTGTGCTGGGGGGCAGGCTTGAGAGAATGGGTAGAGGTGTCCGTCACTACTGGATCGATGAATCACGACTCCCGTCAGTTTGTCCTTCACAGAGAAACCACATGAGTCAAATTCAACTGAATAGTTGTTATCACGAGTAAATTGACGGACTGAGATAAGGTTGTGAATAATATGGGGGGATACAAGGATATTATTTAGGGAAAGGGGCCGGGAGGGTTAGATTTAAGGAAACCGTTGCCAGAACCTGTAGTGCTTACTCTAGATCCATTGTCTACAATAATATGAGTAGGCGAATTAATGTTTGAAGGAAATACATGAGATAAAGTACCTGAGTCGGCGGTGATGTGGTGCGAAGCTCTGGTGTCCATGAACCAGGTAGGGTGGGAGTTGAGGTGTAGGTTTTCAAGGCTATGGGTTAGGGCTGTAGGGGAGGGGGTGGCTGTAATGTTGCGGGTAGGGGGAGG